ATATAAGGTTCGCAGCATCTGGTTCCGGATTAACTTATAACAGCGGCCTCTATACGACCGCAACAGAATGCTTGCAGCTACAAAAGAACCTGATACAGAAGTTGTGCGCGTCAAGGTCATGCTACACAACCTAGCCTGTGGAGCTGCATTGTGCGCGCTAGTGCGTGAGTGTCCATCTTCCGACTAACCAGCGATGCTTATTGATTGGTTCAAAAGCGAGTGCTTAGCTAAGACATGTGAACTGTGTGAAACTAAACAGTTAATCGGTACCCAGTGTGGACTGCCGATGTACTATTGCCATTGCTTCTGCTAAACTTCCATTTGCAATACTGTTGTTCTGATTTCGGTTGCGTGTAACAATTTGGAGACGGAGGTTATTCTGATTGCTCATGGCACATTCAATAACGGCACCCCAACCCTTTTGGAATTCTTCTACTGAAAGGCCTACTGCGCAACAATGGTTGCAGTGGAAAACTACATTTACTAACTACGTTGATTTGCTTTTGCTCCTGGGCGGAAATTGCACGACTGATGATGCAGCGGAAATTAAATTACTAAGCCACCATCTCGGCATCGAGGGCCAGCGACATTTCGACAGTTTACAATGACATACGAAGCGAGACCTATAAACTGTGTTCTATTCCCTGGACGGAATATGGGGTGAAAAGCCCCATGTGAAAACTCAGTTTTCAAGCGAACATATGTTTTCAATAATTCTTCGTCAGGCTTGTACAATTATATGCAAAAAGATAACCAAAATATAGACACAGCACACGGACTGGTAAAGCACGCATTTCACAGTCAATGTTCACTATCAGTCACTGCCCCCTAGAACACAGTTGTGGCTTGTGCAAAATTCCTTGGTATGGACGGAGTAGTTCGTGTGGGCCAAGTCAAGCACAGCGTGTGAGTGAATTTTTCTGGACGCACAGTTCTGGCTCGTTATTCTTTTTGCATATATTTTGCATATAATTGTACAAGCCTGACGAAGAATTATTTAAAACATATGTTCGCTTGAAAACTGAGTTTACAATTATCAATGGGAATTTTTACTATTGTGAAAGCCCCATGTGTTTACTGCTCGGTATAAACTCACCACCATGCGACAACACCCAAATGAGACTGTAAATGAGTTTGTCTCTCGTCTCCTTACTACTCTCCCTGACTGCGCCTATGATCAGATCCTTCCAGCCCAGTTCGAATAAGCGATGCTGTTACAGGCATTAATCGTAGGTGTTTTCGATGAGAAGGCACGAGAACGTCTGCTCTCCGAAGATGAAACGCTACTGACGTGGGAGAAAGCATGTGATATAGTCCGATGGCGTGCCAACCTCGTCCAGGAACTAGCCACATTTCCCTCTGCAAATCAATCAATCTCACATGACATAAACAAGGTCTACCAGACTAACCGTGGACATGCCTTACCTCGCCTAGTACAGCGCAAGGAATTCCGTTGTTACCGTTGCGGGGAGAATCACTTGTCCCCGACTGACTGTCCGCACATCCATTCATTATGCAGATTTTGTGGAAAAATAGGTCATATTCAGAAAGTGTGTCTCTCAAAGCGGAAATCACTCGTCCAGGAACAATCTAAGGCTACAAACTGCATTACTGATGAATTGCAACAGAATTGGATTACCACCACAACCGTTTTTAATCGCACCATTACAGCAGAAAAACCGTTTGTCGTATCCGTCCAAGTAAACGAACAACCGGTAGAGTTTGAAATTGATACCGGTTCCGCAGTCACTTTGATCCGACCAGACGCCTTATCCCAACTTCCAAAGCTGTGTCCACCGAACATACAGTTGCGATCTTACACGGGACAGATGGTGAATGTGCTTGGTACCTTCAATGCACGCATTTCTTACCGTAATTCAACGAGTCATATGTGTGTGTACGTTTCTGGAGGACCGGGTCCGAACATCCTGGGCCGCGATGGAACTAAGCGCCTTCCTGGCATAATGTCGAACGTCAACCTGGTGAAAGACAATCCGCAGTTATCCGAGATTTTGCAGAAGCATGCAGTCTTATTTGATCAGTCGAGATCAGGACTTTTAAAGAATTACAGTGCACATCTGGTATTGAAACCACAGACAAAACCGCGGTTCTGGAAAGCTCGCACTGTTCCCTATGCCCTCCGTGATAAGGTCGAAAGTGAACTGCGCCGACTTCAGTTGGAAGGTACCGTTGAACCCGTCCAGTATTCAGACTGGGCAGCCCCCATTGTGCCAGTATTGAAGAGCGATGGTACGATAAGAATCTGCGGGGATTACAAGGTTACGATAAACCAAGCGTTAGAATTAGACCGATATCCGCTACCAAAGATTGAAGACATTTACGCTTCCCTTTCCTGTGGTGATCTATTTACAAAACTAGATCTGAGTCATGCCTACCAACAAATTGAACTCGATGAGGAATCACGCACGTACACCACCATTAGTACTCATCTCGGATTATTCCGCTATATACGCATGCCTTTTGGAATAAGCTCGGCTCCATCTATTTTTCAACGTATTATTGACTCACTCGTGAAAGATATACCAAACACATGTGCGTACTTAGATGACATTTTAATTACTGGACGAACTACCGCCGAGCACTTACATACATTGGACGTCGTCCTGAAGCGATTATCGGATGCCGGTTTGGTTCTAAAAAGAGAAAAGTGTGAGTTCCTTGTTCCGAGTGTACAGTATCTTGGCTATCGGTTGTCACGTGAAGGATTGTGCCCACTGGAAGAAAAGACAAAGGCGCTACTTGAGGCGCCAGCACCCAAAAATGTTCATGAATTGCGGTCGTTCCTCGGTGTTGTCACTCAGTTTTCCAGGTTTATACCATCGGCAGCAACTCATCTGCATCCGCTTCACCAGCTGCTACGTAAAAACCAAAGCTGGAATTGGAACAATACTCATGAAAATGCATTCAAAGCGGTCAAGAAGCTCTTAGCATCTACAGATGTTCTTGTGCATTATGATCCGCAGAAGCCTGTTGTTCTTTCTTGTGACGCCTCACCTTACGGTCTCGGAGCTGTTTTAATGCACAAATTACCGAATGGCTCTCAACGTCCCATTGCTTATGCTTCAAGAACTCTGACACCAGCAGAACGGAACTACTCTCAACTTGATCGAGAGGCAGCCGCTGTCATCTTCGGCACCACTCGATTTCACCAATATTTACTCGGGCGACCTTTCGTGATCCATACGGATCATAAACCTCTTGTTTTCCTCCTCGGCCACGAGAAAGGTATTCAACAAATGGCTTCACCTAGAATGGTACGTTGGTCGCTTATTCTTTCTGCGTATACATACGAAATTCAGTACGTTCCAGGCAAACAGAATACCACCGCTGATGTTCTTAGCCGGCTTCCCTTACCAGAGACACCATCGAAAGAATTTATCCCACAAGAGCTCGTAAACCTGGTCCAGCATTTTAATGATTCCCCAGTCACATGTACAGACATACGTCAGGAAACTGACAGAGACTCTGTTCTATCGTTGGTCAAACGCTATGTCCAAGTTGGGTGGCCGGACAACACCCCCAAAGAACTCATGCCCTTCCGTAACAGGATGTCTGAACTCAGCCTCCAGAATGGATGCTTGCTGTGGGGCGCACGAGTTATTGTCCCCAAGAAATTTCGGTCACGTATCCTTGACGAACTACATGATGCGCATCCAGGTGTCGCAAAGACGAAGTCGTTAGCTCGATTTTATGTGTGGTGGCCTGAATTAGACCGTGATATTGTGGCGAAGGTTGGAAGTTGCAGACCTTGCCAGGAGACCCGAAACGCCGCTCCTCATGCGCCAATGCAGCCTTGGAAGTGGCCAGAAACACCCTGGAAACGAGTCCACGTAGACTATTTCGGTCCCTACGAAGGTCGGATGATTTTGCTAATCATCGATGCCCATTCTAAATGGATTGATGCCCATATTCTTGTTTCAGCAAATTCAGCTGGTACTATAGAGAAACTACGCACAACGTTCGCAACATTTGGCCTTCCCGAGACATTAGTATCTGACAATGGACCAGCATTCGCCAGTGTTGAGTTTTCTACCTTCCTCAACTCGAACGGCATTAAACACATAACAACTGCACCCTATCATCCTTCTTCTAATGGGTTGGCGGAGAGAGCCGTACAAACAGTGAAGAAGCTGCTAATAAAACAACCAAATGCTCCGCTGCGTGTGCGTTTGGATCGTTCCTTGTTCGCATATCGAAACATGCCAAACGAGACCACAGGCAGAAGCCCCGCAGAGTTAATGTTTGGTCGTCGACTGCGTACACGATTGGATTTATTGCATGGATCTATTGAGCCACAAGTTTCGGAAAAACAACAACGAGTGAAAGAGCGTTTTGATACTTGTAGCAGAGACAAGCATGTGACAGATTCAGATCCCATCTACATCCGCTTACCTACAGGCTCGGGGTGGGAGCCAGCCGTCGTTAAAACAACTAACGGACAGATAATAGAAGCAGAGACTGAGGATGGCAGGATCGTTCGACGCCATTTAGATCATGTGCGACCGAGATTGTCCGACACAGAAACAGTTGCCGAGACAGAGCAGCCAGCTCAAGCATCGAACGACATGCACGTGCGTGACGCCGAACCGGTAGCTGAGTCACAATTGCGGCGCTCTGAGCGCCGACGCCGACCGGTCGATCGTTTCCAAGCTGGATAGCTCCAACTAAAGGGGGGGAAAGTGATACAGACGTTGAGCGCGTCAAGGTCATGCTACACTACCTAGCCTGTGGAGCTGCATTGTGCGCGCTAGTGCGTGAGTGTCCATCTCCCGACTAACCAGCGATGCTTATTGATTGGTTCAAAAGCGAGTGCTTAGCTAAAACATGTGAACTGTGTAAAACTAAACAGTTGATCTGTACCCAGTGTGGACTGCCGATGTACTATTGCCATTGCTTCTACTAAACTTCCATTTGCAATACTGTTGTTCTGATTTCGGTTGAGTGTAACAATTTGGCGACGGAGGTTATTCTGATTGCTCATGGCAAATTCAATAACGGCACCCCAACCCTTTTGGAATTCTTCTACTGAAAGGCCTACTGCGCAACAATGGTTGCAGTGGAAAACTACATTTACTAACTACGTTGATTTGCTTTTGCTCCTTGGCGGAAATTGCACGATTGATGATGCAGCGAAAATTAAATTACTACGCCACCATCTCGGCATCGAGGGCCAGCGACATTTCGACAGTTTACAATTACATACGAAGCGAGACCTAAAAACTGTGTTCTATTCCCTGGACCGAATATGGGGGGAAAAGCCCCATGTGTTTACTGCTCGGTATAAATTCAGCACCATGCGACAACAGCCAAATGAGACTGTAAATGAGTTTATCTCTCGTCTCCTTACTGCTCTCCCTGACTGCGCCTATGATCAGATCCTTCCAGCCCAGTTCGAAGAAGCGATGCTGTTACAGGCATTAATCGTGGGTGTTTTCGATGAGAAGGCACGAGAACGTCTGCTCTCCGAAGATGAAACGCTACTGACGTGGGAGAAAGCATGTGATATAGTCCGACAGCGTGCCAACCTCGTCCAGGAACTAGCCACATTTCCCTCTTCAAATCAATCAATCTCACATGACGTAAACAAGGTCTACCAGACTAACCGTGGACATGCCTTACCTCGCCCCGTACAGCGCAAGGAATTCCGTTGTTACCGTTGCGGGGAGAATCACTTGTCCCCGACTGACTGTCCGCACATTCATTCATTATGCAGATTTTGTGGAAAAATGGGTCATATTCAGAAAGTGTGTCTCTCCAAGCGGAAATCACTCGTCCAGGAACAATCTAAGGCTACAAACTGCATTACTGATGAATTGCACCAGAATTGGATTAACACCACAACCGTTTTTAATCGCACCATTACAGCAGAAAAACCGTTTGTCGTATCCGTCCAAGTAAACGAACAACCGGTAGAGTTTGAAATTGATACCGGTTCCGCAGTCACTTTGATCCGACCAGACGCCTTATCCCAACTTCCAAAGCTGTGTCCACCGAACATACAGTTGCGATCTTACACGGGACAGATGGTGAATGTGCTTGGTACCTTCAATGCACGCATTTCTTACCGTAATTCAACGAGTCATATGTGTGTGTACGTTTCTGGAGGACCGGGTCCGAACATCCTGGGCCGCGATGGAATTAAGCGCCTTCCTGGCATAATGTCGAACGTCAACCTGGTGAAAGACAATCCGCAGTTATCCGAGATTTTGCAGAAGCATGCAGTCTTATTTGATCAGTCGAGATCAGGACTTTTAAAGAATTACAGTGCACATCTGGTATTGAAACCACAGACAAAACCGCGGTTCTGGAAAGCTCGCACTGTTCCCTATGCCCTCCGTGATAAGGTCGAAAGTGAACTGCGCCGACTTCAGTTGGAAGGTACCGTTGAACCCGTCCAGTATTCAGACTGGGCAGCCCCCATTGTGCCAGTATTGAAGAGCGATGGTACGATACAAATCTGCGGGGATTACAAGGTTACGAGAAACCAAGCGTTAGAATTAGACCGATATCCCCTACCAAAGATTGAAGACATTTACGCTTCCCTTTCCTGTGGTGATCTATTTACAAAACTAGAGCTGAGCCATGCCTAGCAACAAATCGAACTCGATGAGGAATCACGCACGTACACCACCATTAGTACTCATCTCGGATTATTCCGCTATATACGCATGCCTTTTGGAATAAGCTCGGCTCCATCTATTTTTCAACGTATTATTGACTCACTCGTGAAAGATATACCAAACACATGTGCGTAATTAGATGACATTTTAATTACTGGACGAACTACCTCCGAGCACTTACATACATTGGACGTCGTCCTGAAGCGAGTATCGGATGCCGGTTTGGTTTTAAAAAGAGAAAAGTGTGAGTTCCTTGTTCCGAGTGTACAATATTGTGGCTATCGCTTGTCACTCGAAGGATTGTGCCCACTGGAAGAAAAGACAAAGGCGCTACTTGAAGCGCCAGCACCCAAAAATGTTCATGAATTGCGGTCGTTCCTCGGTGTTGTCACTCAGTTTTCCAGGTTTATACCATCGGCAGCAACTCATCTGCATCCGCTTCACCAGCTGCTACGTAAAAACTAAAGCTGGAATTGAAACAATACTCACGAAAATGCATTCAAAGCGGTCAAGAAGCTCTTAGCATCTACAGATGTTCTTGTGCATTATGGTCCGCAGAAGCCTGTTGCTCTTGCTTGTGACGCCTCACCTTACGGTCTCGGAGCTGTTTTAATGCACAAATTACGGAATGGCGCTCAACGTCCCATTGCTTATGCTTCAAGAACTCTGACACCAGCAGAACGGAACTACTCTCAACTTGATCGAGAGGCAGCCGCTGTCATCTTCGGCATCACTCGATTTCACCAATATTTACTCGGGCGACCTTTCGTGATCCATACGGATCATAAACCTCTTGTTTTCCTCCTCGGCCACGAGAAAGGTACTCAACAAATGGCTTCACCTAGAATGGTACGTTGGTCGCTTATTCTTTCTGCGTATACATACGAAATTCAGTACGTTCCAGGCAAACAGAATACCACCGCTGATCTTCTTAGCCGGCTTCCCTTGCCAGAGACACCATCGAAAGTATTTATCCCACAAGAGCTCGTAAACCTGGTCCAGCATTTTAATGATTCCCCAGTCACATGTACAGACATACGTCAGGAAACTGACAGAGACTCTGTTCTATCGTTGGTCAAACGCTATGTCCAAGTTGGGTGGCCGGACAACACCCCCAAAGAACTCATGCCCTTCCGTAACAGGATGTCTGAACTCAGCTTCCAGAATGGATGCTTGCTGTGGGGCGCACGAGTTATTGTCCCCAAGAAATTTCGGTCACGTGTCCTTGACGAACTACATGATGCGCATCCAGGTGTCGCAAAGACGAAGTCGTTAGCTCGATTTTATGTGTGGTGGCCTGAATTAGACCGTGATATTGTGGCGAAGGTTGGAAGTTGCAGACCTTGCCAGGAGACCCGAAACGCCGCTCCTCATGCGCCAATACAGTCTTGGAAGTGGCCAGAAACACCCTGGAAACGAGTCCATGTAGACTATTTCGGTCCCTACGAAGGTCGGATGATTTTGCTAGTCGTCGATGACCATTCTAAATGGATTGATGCCCATATTCTTGTTTCAGCGAATTCGGCTGGTACTATAGAGGAACTACATACAACGTTCGCAACATTTGGCCTTCCCGAGACATTAGTATCTGACAATGGACCAGCATTCGCCAGTGTTGAGTTTTCTACCTTCCTCAACTCGAACGGCGTTAAACACATAACAACTGCACCCTATCATCCTGCTTCTATTGGGTTGGCGGAGAGAGCCGTACAAATAGTGAAGAAGCTGCTAATAAAACAACCAAATGCTCCGCTGCGTGTGCGTTTGGATCGTTCCTTGTTCGTATATCGAAACATGCCCAACGATACCACAGGCAGAAGCCCCGCAGAGTTAATGTTTGGTCGTCGAGTGCGTACACGATTGGATTTATTGCATGGATCTATTGAGCCACAAGTTTCGGAAAAACAACAACGAGTGAAAGAGCGTTTTGATACTTATAGCAGAGACAAGCATGTGACAGATTCCGATCTCTTCTACATCCGCTTACCTACAGGCTTGGGGTGGGAGCCAGCCGTCGTTAAAACAACTAACGGACAGAGAATAGAAGCAGAGACTGAGGATGGCAGGGTCGTTCGACGTCATTTAGATCATGTGCGACCGAGATTGTCCGACACAGAAACAGTTGCCGAGAAAGAGCAGCCAGCTCAAGCATTGAACGACATGTACGTGCGTGACGCCGAACCGGTAGCTGAATCACAATTGCGGCGCTCTGAGCGCCGACGCCGACCGGTCGATCGTTTCCAAGCTGGATAGCTCCAACTAGAGGGGGTAAAAGTGATACAGAAGTTGTGCGCGTCAAGGTCATGCTACACAACCTAGCCTGTGGAGCTGCATTGTGCGCGCTAGTGCGTGAGTGTCCATCTTCCGACTAACCAGCGATGCTTATTGATTGGTTCAAAAGCGAGTGCTTAGCTAAGACATGTGAACTGTGTGAAACTAAACAGTTAATCGGTACCCAGTGTGGACTGCCGATGTACTATTGCCATTGCTTCTGCTAAACTTCCATTTGCAATACTGTTGTTCTGATTTCGGTTGAATGTAACAGATCCAAGAGTGGCTTGTGCTGCACTACCAATAGCTCCATTTACGTACCCCATATCCAGTGTAAACCCGGAGGAGTAAGACCGGGAGGCTTGAGGATAGGAGCCCGCCCAAACTCCTTCAATAAATAGTCAATTCAAAATTAGCTTCATGCACCCAAATGGGTGCATTCTCAGCATTTTAACTATCATTGTGGATATCCTGAATGATGGGATTAGTGAAAATATATAAACACAAATTGGAGAATTAAATAAACAAAGAAGCCGCATGCGGAAAGCATCAGTGATTTATTTGGATAAGTCTACGGTTCAACAATGTCAGAACCAACAGGTCCACCAATTGTCAGTGATGAATGAAGTTGGCTAGCCGAACGCTGACTAGGAGCGTCTAAAGTGTGTCGTGAAGAATGTCTTTGACATTTGCATTGCACCCGGCTCGAGACGTAACTCTAAATGGGATCTCAGAAGCGTCGATCAATTTGATCGAGGCGCGTAAACGGGTTCCGATGGGCACTGAGTTTAAGCAGATCCGTAAATCCCTGAAACGACATCTGAGAAGAAGTCTTCGAGTTGACCGGGAACATTGGTGAATTTTAAAGGCACATGAGATGGAGAAAGCCAGCGCTATCGGAAACAGCCGAGTGCTACTTCATATCACTGGGAACACCGGTTAGAGAAAGTCATCAGTTAGAAAGACAATAGCGTCCTCGGTTGGTCTACTGGCCAGAAGATTTTGAGGAGCAGTTCAGCAGACCTGCTGCAACAATGCCACCTGCCAATCACCTACACCGAAGTGGGAAGTAGAGGTCACAACTCCCATTTGAAGATTCCACATGTGTTTGCCGCGTTAAAGCGAAGCAAGGCTCCGGGACTCGACGACCATCCCCATCTTCGTTGAAAGATGGTGGTGACTCCTTGTTGACTGAACTTGCTTCTCTTTATAACACGAGTTGGGACAGTGAAGAAGTGCCTTCAGACTGGCGACTATCAAATTGGTGCGAAAATCATCGGGGCATTAGCGTTACTTCTATTGCCACAAAACTTCGCACGGGTATCATTCTTCGACGACGTACTGGTCCCGTGAGGACCAAGTCATTGAAATCCAGGCTGGCTTCCGCACTAGCCGTGGTTGCATCAGTCACTTATTTACTCTGCCTAGTTTTAGAGCAGACACATACATACGATCGATTATGGTGGTTTTTCTTGACCTGAAATCTGCCTTCGACTCTGTTGACCGCGGCAGCGTGTGGCATTACCTATTCATGAAGGGTGTTCCAGCTAAACTCTTTTCCATCCTGAAGTCCCTCTACCGTGATTCCTAAGGCCGTGGAAGGGTCTACGGGAAAATCTCTTTTGAGATCCCCGCGACAACTGGGGTCCGCCAGCGTTGTCCTATATCTCCTTTCCTCTTCAATGTTGTGATCAAAATGATCGGGAATGACTCGGTTCTTTGAGATTATACTGGAGTGGAAGTTCTGCCAAGCGATGGACAAATAAACCTGTAGTATTCAATAAATAAAAAATGCTTTATTCCCGGCAGTTCGGGGCACGCCTGCGAAGGCATGATTATGCTAAAACAAACAGGTATGGTCGGTAGTTGTATAAAAATATAGCAGCTTAAGCAGTAACATAGTATTTGTGTCTGTATATATATTGTGTTGGTGGGCGTGGCGAGTGAACTTTTGAAGTATGACTGAATTCGTGAGTTTGCTTGCTATGTTCGCCATCGCATGAAGGGATCAAAGGAATTCTTCGAACTGGATGACGTTCGTGAAGTGAGGATCCTCCGAAAGGGGAAGAGGTAGAGACTTTATTTAGTGGCGAGCCATATCCGCCATGTCGCAGTGTTGTTAAACGGACCTTTGGTTTTTCATAGGGAGAAGGCTTGCCAGGCGAAAACCCACCACGTCCTGGAACACTGCCGCCGAACAATTGGCTGGAACGTGATTAACCCGAACCATCCAGCTGGCACCACGTGAAGAATGTTGAGACGCCATAGCTCTCTTTGGGTCTAATGCACTGGCTATGCAAACGCTACTGCACGGAATTGTGCGTAGCGCTATACGCTTCGGCATGAACTCTGCACTTTCAAAGTGCAAAATGCTGTTGCACGACTGGACCGACACACCTCCGGTTTTAGCTGTTTCCGAACAGTCAATGGAAGTGATGGATCGGTTCACTTATCTTGGTAGCTGTCACCTCTGGTGATTGCATTGCTGAGGAAGTTACTTCGCGTACCAGCAAGGGCAGAGTGGCTTTCCAGAGGTTCGACCATCCATGGAGACAGTGGAATATCAGCTTGTCAGTGAAAGGCATGACGTATAAGGCCTGTTTTACTGTATGGATCAGAGATCTGGTCAATTCGCAGTGAAGACATTAAACGCTTGGTCGTTTGGCCACCGGTACTTGCGATGTATTACTCACGTTTGG